TCGACTAGAGCTTTGTTATAGTCATCAAGCATATGAATACGCTTGTTAACCTCTTCTTCGCCCTGGGCGATGAGGTATACCACGCCCTTAGGGCCAAGGATAGGGAGCAGCTTCTGCAACCCTTCCTGTTGTGCCTGTGACAGGCTAATCGCTGACATCTCTTCGACGTCCATTCTCACACAGAGAAGTAGTCGCCATCCCGCACCTGCAGACTACTGTAGCAAAGCTACGTATACAATATGTGCAGAGGAAGACAAGCTCAGAGCTTCTACGTCTTAGAGTGTTTAACCCTCCTAGGCTAGCTCGTAAGCTTGTGCCTATCGGTATTAACAACCGAGTCGCAGAGAGACTAGTATCAAAGATACTGATTCCTTAGAAGGAATAGAATGCTCAAGCTGTAAGGCTTACAGAGCAGGTTTGAAACTGATTTGTATTTATGTTTATCTTGTAACACTAAATATAGAAGCACCTACCCTATACTTAGTGCTAGTCACTATTTACTGGCTCTTTAGCCTTTTATTATTATGCAAACATGCATAGTCACTATACTTAAAAAAGTATAGTGACCACGTGGCTCTCTGCCACGATGTGACCCTTCGTACTTTAGGTACAGTCACATCACCTACTTTTGTACCCAAGGTACAGCCACACCACATTGGTGTGGCAGGTGTGTATGTAAAATACACACCTTCGTGTAACCCCGTTACACTCTGCCACAAGTACAACAGGGACGCGCTTCCCCATATTTACTTACACTATATGTCGATAGTGAAAGTGACACTTCCTAAGTACGGAGACAACTGACAGTATGGTTTTTGGGTCTTTTTGGGTTTTATCTACCAGGTCAATACTGTAGTACTAACAACAACGCGGAATCATTTGTTAATCTTGAACAATCTAAATCTCAGGTCGGTATGCGAGTTCTAGCTTTGGGTTCCGTTCATATTAACGACGCTTTTGCGCATTTTTGAGCAGTTCTTAGTCGCTCAAGCGCAAAGTTATTGAAGATTCACACACTCAGAAGGCCTTCGTTGGATTTATCGAATTGCGATGTTCGTGGACTCTAACGAGATCATAAGCAACAACCATCACACAAGACACCAACACAAACAGAACAAAAGACGAAATGCAATAAATGTATGATGTCCTCCTACATCCCCAGTCTTTCACTTGGAAGCTGATAAGTACCTTTTTTGTATGCGGCATAATCGCGAGAAATAGCGTCAAACTTTTTCTTGTCCTTGGGCAATAATTGTCGATATTTCTCAATTATGCTAATGTCATAATTTTCAAGCTGCCAATGCTGAAACTGTCTTTTTTTCCATTTCGCTCAACAATTCTACTTTAGCAGGCAATTTAGCGATCTCAGCACGAAAAAGCGCAGCTCTTTCTCCTGTAACTATTCGCTAACATAATATCTTCCAGAGTTTTCATTCTCTTCATCTTTTAAGTCATTTTAAAGTAACGTAATCCATTTTTTTGCTCACCAGCAAGACGCGCTAACGTTTCAAATTCCTTGATCTGTTTATAAGAACGTCAAGTTGCTGCATTAAGTTCTTGATCGCATCATGAATATTTACTGCTAGCACATCCTTCGACTCGGAGGTTTGGCTAATATTGCATACATGGCCTCCTCTGCCCGTTCGCCTTCATTTGCCTTGACTTCTCTGGCCCATGTGAAAAACGGGTCTTCACTAACATGTTTATTGTCCACTTTGTCGAGTTTATCACTCTTAAGCGAATTGAAAGCAAATTGCCACCAATATGGCATGATCGGTTCATCAATCAACAGTTTTTCCATTTGTGGCAAAAGCGTTTCCGATTCTTTGATCGTGGAAAACATATTTTCCCTCTCATCGATCTCGCTGGTACTACCACTCGTGGTAGCCCCATCGGACAAGTGTCGCCTGGTCGAGGCGACCTCAACCGCATTTTGCGCATTCAACAACACACGTAAGGTGTAGCCGAGCTACGGTAGCTACGCTACTTATGCACTTTGTGCAGATGCACTATGTGCAGAAGAAGTAGTCAAACTACTGCAGCAAAGCTACGTATGCAGAGGAAGACAAGCTCAGAGAGCTTCTACGTCTTAGGGTGTTTAACCCTCCTAGGCTAGCTCGTAAGCTTGTGCCTATCGGTATTAACAATCGAGTCGCAGAGAGACTAGTATCAAAGATACTGATTCCTTAGAAGGAATAGAATGCTCAAGCTGTAAGGCTTACAGAGCAGGTTTGAAACTGATTTGTATTTATGTTTATCTTGTAACACTAAATATAGAAGCACCTACCCTATACTTAGTGCTAGTCACTATTACTGGCTCTTTAGCCTTTTATTATTATGCAAACATGCATAGTCACTATACTTAAAAAAAGTATAGTGACCACGTGGCTCTCTGCCACGATGTGACCCTTCGTACTTTAGGTACAGTCACATCACCTACTTTTGTACCCAAGGTACAGCCACACCACATTGGTGTGGCAGGTGTGTATGTAAAATACACACCTTCTTGTAACCATGTTACAAAGATCGTACTGCATTGCTTCGTACTTGTTTGTGTTGGCCACGCACTTGGCTTACAGCGCCATGAGATCCTCACGTTGTTGCTGCACCATATCAGCAGCTGGTTAGTCAGGCCTATTTTTTGCGTGACGCCCCGATCGGGGTTGCAAGTAGACACCGCAGTCAATTTGTTTCGCTATTTGCTATATAGGAGCTTCATGCTACAACGTTAAGGCCTAGATTTTTCTGACGGGCCTTCATTGCTTTTTGTTACAAAAAGCGCCGGCTTTAATTTAAAGACGGCTGCGGCTACGAGTGGGATCTGAATTTTGGAGACGAGCGAAAAAGATAGAGAGAGAACTAACAGGTGTCTTGAAGCACGAAGGTGATCTTGTCATGGCTTTACAGGTATCAGTTGAATTAATTTTAGGGCTCACTAAATAAAAAGGTTTCTGCAGAGGCACAATGTCATTCCACGACGAAACTTCGCCCCCACACGGCGACAAAGTATTTGTGTCCACGCAACAAAACGTTCATGCCACTTTGTCAAGCTTCAATATGGTGCCGACAAAGGCTGCAGGCGCTTTATACCCTCGGCTACGTGCACCATCTTTCTCTCCAAAAAGAGCACGAAGCCACAACACAAGAACTGGTCTAAGACGTACGACTTGGATACGACACACATGAAGGCGCGATGCACCCCCCCCCCCCCCGCCACAATACACGCACCAGACTATTTTGCATGCAAATGATATTGCCATCAACCAACCTGCTTCGTCGATTGGATAACGCGCCATGCATCCGCTTGCAAACTTCACTAAAGACCAGTATCTGCTGAGCAAGTGTCAATATTGGGTGGGGGTACAAGGGTGATGGGCAAGAAGAACCAGATTCTGACTGTTTTTTAGCTACCGTCAGGTCAAGTGAGTAGTTGGTATCTGTTGTCGTGGACGTTTCGTAATGCTTAACAGATGATAGACCTATCACTTGTTAATCAAATAAACGACAGCTGCTTAACCGAACATAAAGACGTATAGATGTTGAGTATCTGCATATCTCAATGAGCCTCATTGCAAAAACTGTGAAGACAGTCACACCAGTTTCTTTGTATCTGTCTAGTCTCGTAGGAAGACATTTTTTATTCATTGACATTCTGGTTCAGAGCGCAATTTCTCGCAGCACCGAATCACAACGGAAAGCGTTTTATTTTTTGACTAGAAAGACCTGTTCCACACATGCGCGTCGTTCATCGCATATTGGCTTTGGCCACAACAGTTACACTGCTAGCTCTTAGCAACTGCAGTCTCGCTACAGCCAGCGAGATTGATACGACAATTACGGAGAAAGCGGATTCGATGCATGACCACGAGTATGAGGAAAAAAAGGAACGATTGCGTAAGCAAACTGATCAGGTTTTGGATGTAGAAGAAAGAAAAGGAGGAGGACGTGGAGGAGGACGTGGAGGAGGACGGGGAGGGGTGGGTGGGGGTGGTCGCAGACGACAAGGATGGCGAAAACCTCGAAAATATAGAGCGTATCCCTTCCATTCCAATGACAATGACGACGGATATGACGGAGACGAAGAGGAGGGGAAGAGATGTCATAGAAGCTGGTTTAAGCGGCTAATCGGACGTAAATGTCATTAAAGACAGACATTACCGACTCCGAGCTCGAATACTAGCCGCTGTTCGTAGCAGAAGTATACCTGCTGCAACTTTGTTTGGCAGCCAAAGAAGCAACTCGAGTAGCATTTGTAATGATTCCATGCACTCAAACTGTGGTTGTGAGATAAGAGAAAACAATATCCGACATTTTAAACTTTGATGCTTTGCATGTTTGGTAGAACGCATTCACTGATTGAAGAAGAGCAGCTTTTTAGTGAAGACAAAAAGAACAAAGCTCAAGTATCAACTGTAGACGCTTGTATAGTCAGCCATCTTGTCTTAGCATTGCACCACTTCCTGCTGTCATTACTTGCCGTCTTATGGACGTCGGTGTGAGCACGCTCTTGTTGTACCATATCGGGTTTCCAAAAACCTTTATCGGTTGACTCGTTACAATTGACGGACAAGTTCAATATGCGCAAGTACAAAGTATAAGCAAAGGCATTATGTGAAGAGAAATGACATGTTGCAATGATCTCCATGTCGTCCCTTTTAGCAGATGAGGTGGCTTGGTAAGACAAGTGGAGTGTTAGCTATTGGAGTTGGAAGCGTGCAATACGTGTATAATGTTGACTATGAAGAAGACGTACATACACACGTAAGTAACAGCAGTGGAAATGGACCGCTCATGATAAACATTTTCCATGTAAATGCTCGGCATGCACGCGCTTGCACTTACTATTTACTCTGTTAGTAGCAGGCGGACCCAGAGCTGCAGTACAAAAGAGAATATACATCAGAATGCAAACAACGTGTATTGTATGACTAAGTGGCTTCGAAGTTGAGTTCGATCGTGCCTTCCAGTGAGTCAAAGTAGAAATTTGAACCTACTACTAGTCAGCCTGGTTGCTGACTGAACAGGTGCAGCTGACTCAGGTGGGAGGAATCGGATGAGTTGCTTTGCATACGCACAGCCGGACCTGTAGCCACTACGTGTTGGCCTTCTACGTCCAACACGTACTCAACCCACACCACTACTGCATTTGCTGTCGAGCTCTTTAATAGGATAGTGACGTTAGAGGCGATCGTATGCACTGTCTGCATAAAGTCCAGAGTAGCGAGCTCAACTACGTCCGATGCTTGCTTGTAGGGATACATGTAGACCGGATATGGAAAGTTGCGCGTGAAATATTTATCCTGGAACAGATCGAAGCCCGGTCATACCCGGATACATTTCCCACTGCGCCGAAGCATAGGTGCAACTGCTCAAATTGCACTGCTTGGGCCAATACCCTCGCACGGGCAGGTAACACTCGGGCACTCGGGTGCAAAAGTCCACTGACAGCTGAACGTCGCAGCCAAAAGTTAAAAGCCTACCAGAGAGGAAGGTTCTGCATGGAATAGTAAAAGGGTTCACCGACTAGCAGATTCACGCTTTAAGGTTCACCATGAAGATATTCTCAGGCAGCAAACCCTTCACGCCGCTATTAAGTACCTCGGCGTCAACGGCATTGTAGGTTAAGATCTGATCAAAAATTCGTGCTTCACCGTACGCAGTGTCATGCGCTTAATGTGCTCAATATTAATACCACGTCCGACACTTCCTTAATCTCAATTAAGGTCGCACTTGATATTTGCTTGTGCGTAGCAGCCAGTAGTGCACACAGCGATCCATCGCTAATATCGAGACAGGAAATCGAGCGTAAAGTTTAATCTTTACTAAGCTCAGCAATGGTCGAGGAAAACGACGCCGTGTAGGCTTTGCAACGTGTAGCGTCAGTGAGCATCGAGATACGCTCGCGTTGCAGATGAGGTGCATTCCGCAAATGCATGGAGGTTTATCGACCAACACGGAGCGCTTTTTTTCGTCAAGTGAGTCAATTTGTGGAGCAACATCAACGTCAAACCAAATGCGAATATCATCGTGGTGAGCACGCAAGAGTAGATTATCATTAGGCCGCGCTTGGATGTTTACCACAAACGGAAAGACAACCTGCACCCAATGATCTTGCCAGTTTTGTGCGTCTGGCTTTGTAGAGTACACGACACTATCGTCCGTGTCAAAGCTAACTTCCCACCACATGAGGACGGCTTGCACCTTTCCTGCCTCGACTACGTCAACTACCGTATCCTGGTAATCTACAGCTCCTGTCGTCGGCTTAGTAAAAGTAAAGTTTAGAACCTCAATGGGTTTCGTCAAAAGCTTTAGGTCTTTTTCCAGTGCACGGAAATGCACGGGCAGACCTGGCTTGCCACCTTCACATTGCCACGCGGTATTACTTATTGCAAGTTTTGCCTCTAGCCCAGCAAAGTCCATTCCAAAGTGATTCGGGGCACCTGAAAACTATTAAAGTGAAAGATCGGCTCGCTTTCGACGACTTGAGCAAAACGGTCGCGCGTTCGGGCACAATGGTAGGGTTACGTATTAGCAGATGCTGCATTGCATGACTAATGTTGGTAGCACTGCCTCTCTCAATAAAGCCGAGTCAAAGAGTTCCGACACCAGGATATCGGCACGTCGTGGCAAGTGATACGTTGTATTTAAGTCCTTGTCTTCTTCCTTCTCTGGTGCAACCTTCAAGTCCGTCAAACGCAGCTAAAATACTGTGATCTTGTTAGGATGATTGGCTGCAGTCACGTGCTCTGCAATTTCAACCATGGGTACAAACATCTCGCACGCGTAAACGTGCTCGGCTCCGTGAGTGGCGGCAAACATGGACAATAAGCCCGTTCCTGCTCCAATATCAAGCACTAATGGTGCCCGACCATGTTTTTATTTGAACGTGGCGATGGCTTGTTTAATGCCATGCTCGTACCAATTGTTGCGATCCTTATCCCGCAACATTGATGTCATCTGGGACATGGCTACAACATTCTTATAGACATTTTGTAAGCTACTTTGCTCTACCCACATGAGTCCACCTGCTTCCGGGTTTAATTGAGCAGTAAGCAGAAATTTGGATACTCCCGAAACGGTCGAATTCGTATCGTTTTCATCTTTCAAGTATGAATAAGGCACATTAACAACGACGGTCTCTTCAGCAGCCGCAGTTTCAATTACTTCGTCTAATGATAAACCCGAGTTTGATGATGCAATTTTAATTGCCGAACTGCTTTCTATTGGTTCACCTTTACCTACTAACGTTCCTCCATATTTATCGATTCCAGCGTACATTCGATAATGGCTCCGATTGTCTGATCTAGTTCTGGTGGTTGGTAGAAATAAAGTATAATTGGTTATACACTGGGATGTAAATTAATGGATGAAAAGAAAGTGAACACAATCACATGTCAAAACGGTTTTATTCATGGTTAAAGCCACCAAATTGATTCGAATCGGATGCTCGTGTTTATCGGCGCATGGTTTCTAAAACACCTGATACCAGTGTTCACAAACAGCAAAAAAACGTCTGACTCGCTTTATCAGAGACATGTCCCCATCAAAGTCTGTGGAATGTTAATATACGCAAGTGACCACCAAAGATGTATCAGCGAAAAGAATGTCTGAAGTGCTGCAAGAATATTCAGAAAAAGCTAAAGATAACGACTTGTTTTCATGAGCTGAGAGAATTGAGAGGACTGAATGATACAATAGGCCAGCTTTGTACTATCCCAACACTTTATTAAATTCGATATTACAATATTCCGCCAAGAAATGGTCCCGCAGCATGTATATTCGATTCAAATGAATTACACACGGTTCACAACGCGATAGATAAACCCATACATTACGTCTCCATTATTTTCATCCTGCCAGCTTTGCGCTCTTGAAGCTCGCGTAGGTACTGCTTACGCTTTACTTGCTCTTCCTTGTATATCTGCGTTCGACGCTTTTTAATCGCCTCCAACTCCTCATAAAACACCAAAGTCACATTTTCTTGTAGGTCCAATGACCAAGCCTTTGTGCGCAAGTGTGTAGTCAACTGGCAAAAAATGTCATCATTTTCTTCACGGGAAAGTCGGATCACGACGTCACGCAGAAACTCCCACAGGTAAAATGGTACCTCATCGACATCGTCTCTTCGAGGAAAATGTGCCATGTCCACAATTGTCAGAAAAAAAGCACCCAGTTCTGTCTCGAGCTCTGTTGGTGCTATTTGCTCCTGTCCTGAATTCGAGGCTGACACAAAAGGTTTCTGCGTGAAAAACTGCTGCACCAGCTCCAGGAACTCAAGGCTTTCTGCGTCCTCGGGTTCCACCTCAAACCCCAGCTTGCGTGCTATGTCCACATTTTGCTTCACTTGTGCAGCAGCGTTGATTCGCGCACGCAGACGACTCATAAAACTCCAGCGCGTCGCCGACTGGAAAGGTGGACCGCGCACCGATGATCCTGGTGCCAAAACGTCCACAGGTGGAAATATGCGACTACGCGCTAAGGATGATTCAAGACCAACATAGTCATCAACAAGCGACGTCACACGCTCTTGCAACTCTGACGAAATTTCGTGACTGTCTGGCACATCGACCAACACCAGCGACGTGAGCGACGGACCTTCTTTTTCCTTGGAAGCACCCCTGAATTGGGCCGAGCGCTCCATAAGCACGCTATGTCCACTGAGGCTGATTTGCGCGGCGCGGGGCAGATGCAACAGCTGCACCAATCCTTCCACCACTGTCGTGTGCGTGGCCAAGTCGTCATACACCACAACACTGCGTGGAGATCTGCCATTGTGCATTAAAAACTCGGCAACAGCGCAACCGGTGAACGGCGTCAGGTACTGCAACACGAGCGAGTCCCGGTCACTCGATGCAACGATTGTTGTGTGTTCCAAAGCTCCCATCGCCCTGAGCGCGTCAACAATTTGATGAATCCTCACCGAGATCTTGCCTACGCACACGTAAACGAACTGGGGTGGCGTTTCTCTACGCTCCTTTGCTTGCGCCACTTGATGCGCAATAACATCCAACGCCACCCGCGTCTTACCCGAGTTCCTAGGACCCAACACTCCAAAGCGATGGCCATGAACCATTGGATGCAGACAGTCTATAGCCAAAAGACCCGTATCGAAGGGCAAATGAAGCGGAGCACGCGTCATGAAGCCCGGTACACTCTGCGCGCTACACGTGACCTTAACGCGACCAGTTGCCGTCATCACCGTCTCCTCTGCGTCCTGGTCTTCATCCAGCCGCAATGCTCGTCCCAGAGGATCCACCATCGAACCCGCAAAGGCTGCAACACTGCCAGGGATCTCGAGCTGCTCACGCTCAAGCTGTACATTCATACCCTTGGATACGGGATGTACCCGGGCTGCTTCATCATTGGCATTAAGCAGTGCCACGTGCACCAATTTCTTCTCCAAAAAGAGCACAAGGCCATGACACAAAAACTGGCCTGAAGTGTCGAACACGGCCACGACACTACCGACAGAGGCATGACGCAGCCCCGAGACACGCACCAGACCATTTTGCACGCCCATGATGACTCCATCAACTGGTAGCTCTGCCTGCAACGTCGACAGTGAATCATCACGCATTCTCTCGGTTTCATGCTCTGGAAGCTTCATAAATTCCAGTATCTGCTGAGCCAGTACAGCCTCCGAGTCGTCTGTTGTATGACGTCGTCCATTGCCAACGAGAGCGGCATTGGACTGGTGAAAGTCACGATTTGGACGGAAGTGGATCGGAGACAAAGAATTAGTATGAGTGAATGTCTTCAATGAGAGACACTGACGAAGATGCTGACGACGGCACAAGAGACACGATATCGAGCGAGCAGCTCCGTTCATTTTGACGAGATGAAAGAGTGGTTGACCATTTTGTCGTGTATAGGCGAGCATTCTGTCGTGTACAGGGGACCATTTTGTCGTGTATAGGCGAGCATTCTGTCGTGTACAGGGGACCATTCTGTCGTGTATAGGCGAGCATTCTGTCGTGTACAGGGGACCATTCTGTCGTGTATAGACGAGCGTTTTTTCGCGTGTACACGTGTAGGCTGCCACTTTTTTCATTTTATAGCGCAAAATTCGACTAAATACGACCATAAGGTCATTTTTTCGCCCCATTCTGCTCATGTCCGTGATTAGTATGAAGCGCTTGTTTTCACGACACTACGTCATAGTCATCGAAAAGCTTACAAAAGCAAAGACATGTAAACAATATACCGACACTTTGATTTAGTGGTGTCTATGTCAGGTATTATAACGTTGCATTTGGCATTCCTCTACGTATGTAAGAAAGACGTATTAGGACGTTTGTGTTGAATGAATGGCATTGAACGATTTATTAGCTGCCAAGTTTGTCACTATGTACACAAAGTAATAATTCTTCAGTCAGCGCAATAGCAACCCAATCGAATCTTTGAAATTCTCGTAGTTTTATCGAAGCTCTCAATCTAAGCTCCCATGTCTTCCAGCAAACGTGGGATCATTAAAAGATTCATGTCAGTTCTTGAGAGGTTTGACAAATAGAGTTGCCACAGTGAAACGTCTGAGTGCGAAAACTAACTTCTGCTCTAGCTCCCAAGTCAGTGATGTCTAACCTTACTAACATTTCGCACCATTGGCGCGAAGGATCATTCGATAGATCGCGCAGAATTTAGCACGTAGACTCTCCGACTTGCTATTGTTACTTTCATCAGCAGTGTGCAGTGTCAGTTGATTCGGCCTCACTCGAACTCTTCCAGGGAACGTTTTGTCGTTATACCAATGATCTGGAATCGCTCTCCGTTTAAGAATCCACTCCAATCCAACTACTTCCGCAGCGTGTCCGAGCCTTTCTCCCTTCACTTGTAATCGTCCTCCCATTAATCTTTCTTCTACACCTAAAGGGTGATCACTCGTCTCCTTACGCAATCGAGTATTTCCCTCATACTCTTGGTCCTGGATTGAGCCAGTTGTCGTATCAATCTCATTGGCTGTACTTAGACTGCACTTGCTTATAGCTAGCAGTGTAATTACTGTGGCCAATACGAGATTTATGAGGCGCATATGTCCAACTGGTCTTTCTAGTCAGAACACAAACGTTTTCCGTTATGACTTGATGCTGCTAATTGCGTTGTGATCTAGAATCTCGGTGAACAAATGTGCCGTTCCTAAGCAGATGAAATTTAAAGATACAACGAAACTGATGTGACTGTCTTGAGCAGTGAGAATATCATTAAAGAAATGCAAAATCTGAGTTTCAAAGCTCTGGCTCATTCTAATCTTCCTCTTGAGCAAGAAGACTCGTAGCTGTACTGTATTTATCTTGTATTAGAAAATTGACTGGAAATTCTATAAGAGACTATCATTGTAAAATGATTAGAACTTCGTGTCGGTTTTATTCGTGGACCCTTTGAACTAACGTGAGCCAATCTTTGAAGTCAACAATGTTATTTCGAGGCATTCTTACAAAGGTTCATCACCACTGGGACAGGTTTCTGTTCTGAAGCCACGTCAAATCTTAAGATCAGATCGCGGCTGACCATAGTGATGGTTTATTCGTGGTCTGTAGGCATCACCGTTGCCACTGACGAAATCTGGGCGTTTGCAGATCAGATTGCTTTTCAGGTCTTAACATGTAGTAAAGATACCTTTACATGAGGATTGTGAGATGCTGTGACGGCTTGTGGGATACTTGGTCTGGTCTGACCTAACACAGCAGCTTTTTTCTATGACTCAAGACCTTATTTGCATCCACCAAGGAACCGTTCGGAGCTACTGGATGATTTGCGTCATTTAGTTAAGAAGAATGCTCGGGATACGATTCGTTCACATGACACTAGTGACTATATTTTACTGCTGCAATGGTATCAATGTTACCACCACTAAAAGCAATGAAGTTGTTGCATCTGGTGCTGCTCGCAATTCGGTGTTCTTTTATGACGTTATGCGCAACGAGAAGGTCAGGTCTTGCAAGTCAAGGAAAGAAGAGCGAGCATGTGCTTGATGGCAACGCAGTAGATCACAAATACTATATATGAAGGTCCAATGCTACCAGTGTCACGTATGAAGGCAAGGGAGTCTTGCAAAAAAAGGTATAACGTGGTTGGTAACGGAGTTCCTGCTTTAGACCAGTTTTGTCGACTTCGACGAATACCAAATGTCCCAGTGTCAAAAACTTCAACACATTGCTGAACAATCAAGATCAATGTCTTACAAACGTTGTTGCAGTACGCGGTTTGACAGTTGCGTGACTTCAAAGTGTTGCAAACCTGTCAATGCTTTTCAAAGCTGTTTATCGGTGAAGCGCTTTTATCTTGGTAATAATGGCGGCACCCATCGCCTTCGTGCCAACCACAGTGGTCTGGTCCTTCGCCAAATCACCCGTTCGCACACCGTCCAAAAGCACCTGCTCTACGGCCTTTTCAATCAGCTGGGCCTCAGCCTCCATCTGGAACGAGTAACGCAGCAGCAGTGCGGCTGATAAAATTTGTGCGATGGGGTTGGCAAAATTCTTGCCCGCAATATCAGGCGCTGAACCACCAATAGGCTCAAACAGGTGAACTTTGGTACCAAGACTGGCCGACGGCATGAGACCAAGTGAACCTGGCAGCACCGATGCTGCATCCGACAGAATATCACCAAACATATTACCCGTCACGATCACATCAAACTGCGACGGGTTGCGGATTAACTGCATCACAGCGTTATCAATGTACCTGTATTTTTGTTCAGCAACACAAACAAAGATCAAAGATGTTTCCAAGATTCAGGCGCAATCACAAATCATTGTGCAGTACGTACATAAAGTCAAGCTTGACCTCAGGATAGTCCTTGGATACATCCTTTGCTACCTTACGCCACAGACGACTGCAGTCAAGCACGTTGGCTTTGTCTACTACCGTCAGTCTTTTCATGCGCTGCAAAAAAGATCATTCCCATTAGTAATTCATCATTCATATCATCTTTCTTGCTTAGTAAATACAGTCATGTACACTCATAGCCGTCTCAAATGCAAACTTCATAGGCTTCACAATCTGTATATCACATCCGGTCTATATCAATGCATGAACCATGACCATACAATCCCCAGCCAATTGCAGTCACGCACCTCTGCCTCCGTGTACTTCATCACGTCCGTAGCCGTGTCACCACTTGTATTATGTTCACCAAAATAAATACCAGAAACAAGTTCACGGACAATAACCATGTCAACACCATTGGCAATGATACTGGGCTTCAATGGCGACAAGTCCGGCAGCATAGAGTAGATCTTAGCTGGACGGATATTCACAGCCAGCTGAAAGTTCTTGCGCAAGCCAAGCAGGCAATTCTTCTCAGCATCCTTCCACTTAAGATCTTCTTGAGCGTCAGTAGGACCTCCTACTGAGCCAAACAGCACAGCATCTGAGGCCGCCACGGTATCTACGGTCGACTGTGGCAAATGTGTCGAATACTTTTCGTAGGCCGCACCACCGCATAAAGCCGTTTCAAACTCAAAATGATGCTGAAAGAGTTCACCCACTGTCTTAAGTACCTGCACTGCTTGGTCACAAACCTCAGGGCCAATGCCATCACCAGGTAATACAGCGATGTTGTATGTCTTGTCGCCACTCATATTGGTAAATACTTGATATGTTGCTCAAAATGGGTTCGTAATGAATGATACATACACATTGTTGACTTACATTACGTTATGATTGGTCAAAATTGAGTGAATGCGCAAGCGTTTGTTAAGGTACGAAACACCAAACAAAAGTGCAACCGCGCACTATTAAGTGTCTGCGCTGTGCTAATGGACAAGTTTGTATTGCGTGGGGTTGCGGCGGCGGCGTTAGCAGAGTCTATGGAGGAAGCAGCACCGCCACCATTGCAAAAAAAGCGGTAGAGACAGACAACGATACATCATGGAGATAAGGTGGTGTTTGAAGAGCACGTGCAGTACCTGAAGGAGGAGCTAGACGATGTCAAGACCACTAGCAATATGTTGAACATATTGGCGTCACTTGAGCAGATTTTTGTGTCACTGGAGATGATGGAGAAGACACGTATTGGAGTTACACTTTCGAGTTTATCGAGGCGATCAGACGATGTAGAGATCCAACAGAGAGCGAACAAGTTATTAAAGCTGTGGAAGGCAAGAGCGAAGAAAGCCATGAGGCGTCGAGCTCGACGTGTCGAGACGTATGGACGCAATTACGCCGAGTAAATGTTTGGAGAGAGATTTGATGCAGATGTAGGAGGTAGAACTCATCATTGGTCTTCTATTGTATTGTTTTATGAGCTGTTGTTGCTGCAGTTACGAACTTTGGACGTCGCGCATTGCTACTCCAGGAATCAATGTACGTCGACAAGTGGAGGCTGGACTTGTGCTTTGAGCAAACCGATTCATGTTGGCAAACGCTAAATATCCCAGGAAGCTAAAGTATAAACAACACGTGCCTCCCAGTGCGATGAGTCTGACAACACCAAAAGCTAAATTTTCAAGATTCGTGAAGATCAAGTAGAGATTGATGACGCACACGAGACCTCCCGATAGCCATCCAGTTATCACCGTTGCTCTATTGTTTGCAAAATTTCCCATGATAGACGTTGAGCTCGTGAAGATTAGCACAGGAAGTAGCGCAAATGGTAGTTGGATGGACTGCAGCACGTTGAGCAACTCGTCCATATGGTCACTATCTGCAGGGTTTTCTTGACTTAGAATTGCCACAGTCATTGCAGGAACGAGTGATACACATCGTGTTAGCGCTACACGTTTCCATGGCACAAGGTGAAGTTGGAGAAATCCTTCCATGACAAATTGACCCGCATAAGTTCCTGTCATGGTGGAGCTCTGTCCTGCAGCCAATAGACCAATTGCCCAAACGACATCGGCATATTCTCCCAGCATGCCACTGAGTGCCACACCAGCCTGAGATAAGCCTATTTCCTGGCACATACCTTCACCACCGTTAGCAAGCTGACAATGGCCATATGTGTCGCCATTTGCAATAGCTCCTGGAACACAAGCTGTGTTGACTCCGTGTGTATCATACGATGTTGTACAATGTGACGAGAAAAAACCTTTTGCAAAAACTGCTAGCACTGCCAAGTTGATCAAGAATGACACGAACAGAGCCAGACAAGACTCGATTGCAAAGTACTTGTTCGCCTCGCGCACCTTGCGTCCATCGTGTCGATTGACTTGTCTAGTCTGCACGAGCGCTGAGTGCAAGAATATATTGTGTGGCATGATCACAGCTCCAAGAATGCCCACTGCTTGCGTCACCGCGTAGCGATCAACTCGCGGCACGAAGCCGCTCATTACATCTGATGATGCCACGTCTCCACGGACCAAGTTGGCGCAAAAGCAGACTAGCATGACCACGATCAATGTAACAAAGAATGCTTCAAGCTTTCGAATACCGTAGCGGTGAAGCAACAAGAAAGTAAGTGTGTCGAAACCCGTGATCAAACATCCGATCCACAATGGAAGTCCGAAAAGCACCTGAAATGCAATGGATGATCCTAACACTTCTTGTATGTCACTCCCAACAATTGCAATCTCCGTCATGATCCACAACGTTAGTGACACCCATCGCGGATATACTGCCGTGCACATTTCAGCCAGATTTTTTCCAGTAACAACACCCAATCGTGCAGCTAATACTTGCAAGAAATATCCCATTGCCGTTGCTCCAAATAGAACCCAAATGAGCTGGTATCCAGCGTAAGCTCCAGCCTGTAGGTCACTCTCTAGGTTGCCAGGATCAACATATGCGATGCTCATGAGCCACCCTGGACCAGCATACGCCCACAACGTTCGCCAGCTGCAAGACCAACTTAAGTGAGTATTACCACTATCTACTACAGCGTCTAAAACGCGTGGAAACGCTAAAACGCACCTCAAGCCACGCATCGTAGGCTCCTCATCAGGGGCTGTAATCTCTCCAACAGACAGGGTAAGAGCCTTATCGATGGTGCCATAGGTAGCCACGTCATCTCCAAGCAATACTTCCAGATTCAAAGCTCTTGGGTTTGGCATCTCTAAAGTCTCTGCAATGCCCATGAATGGTTGACAATGTGTTAGCTCAATGAGCTCCTCAAAGCTGCTTCCAGTAGTACAATTGTCACTAAAAGCAATCCGCAGACGGATATTTTGGTGAAACCTTTTGTTAATTATATTTTCGAGGCACAAAATTATTCCATAGAAATAAAAAAAAGTTGTGTCAACCCTAATTTCCTTATCTTACCATTTATAGTCGTTTTAAACAAAACCACGTTATCAAAAGTAACAATAAGGTTGAGCCTTTCTAACAGCATACATGTAAACCATTAAATTCTCCAATATCACCCAATCAGTTCATCGTATGGCTATCAATCGTTTTCGTTCTACTTCCTCACCATGGCGTCATCTGGAATGCGATTCCTCGAGGCTTTCACGCGCGCTTCCAAGCGCCAGCACGTGTCTGGACGCGCCCAACGCGGTCTATTTGCTGGTCGTGACAAATCTTTCGGCAACAATGTGTCGTTCTCAAAGCGTCATACGCGCCGTGCTTGGAAAGTTAATCACCAATGGAAAAGTCTGTACTCAGAGACACTGGACGAGAAAGTCGGGCTTAATGTAACAACACACACGCTACGGTGCGTGGACAAATGCGGCGGACTAGACAACTACTTACTAAGTATCAAGAACGAACGTGACCTTGGTGTGAAGGGGCTCAAGACACGAGATCGCATACTGGCCGCTCAATCCAATTGAGGTTCACGCTGAATTAGGCCTGTGGCTAAACATCAAACTCAGTCTATTTGGGCATTTACCCAAATTTAAAATAATTGAGATTCCTTTGGTTTAGATTACAAATAAACGGACATTTGAGCTAAATCTCGCCTTCGCTCATTTCTGAATTCTTGGACAGGGTTGTTGATAAAATATCTTCATCATCATCGTCTATGCCTTGAGTAGTTTGTGTTTCATAGCTATCGGTAGTAAAAAAACTAAAATTATCTTGAGTCAATCGGGTCCTGAAGCTTTCGACATAGCTTTCATCGATACTGAAATCATCGCTGTTGCGGCTCGAGTAGCCCCTGAGTTTCGTAGATGCCGATAATTGCGGCGCCCCACGTCGTAAAACCGACCCTTCCGGTATTTGATCACTCATACGGTAGATCTCACTATCCGATAACGCCAGTGATACAGAGAAGCCGCTATTTGATCGGTCTGTCAGATTCGTGTTTCGTATACCAACGTCAAAGATTGACGGCTGCAGTGATCCCTGGCTTGATAAGATTGAAGGCGCGATGCTTCCAAGGGATACGGAACTAGTGCTGAAATACTCAGATTCGGACTGGATGACTGGGGAAGTCTTCGATGACGTGATTAATGATTCGTTGGCAGTGAATGGGTCGAACTCGTTGGTGTGATAATTATCCGTCGGCCTATGGATACTGCTGGTAGCGCTTTGATGAAAGCCTTGAGCTGTAGAACGAGCCACGGCCATTTGCATCTCCGTGTTGGATCTCTTTCCAAACAACGTTGAGGCGGCATTTCCGTTGCGAGGGGTAAGTATATCAGTGACAAAGTTGAGGGATGAAACCGCAGTTTCACGAGGTACTGTCACGCGGTTCTGTCCGAAAAATGATTCCAAAGCACGCTGCTCAAAACTGTCTCGGTCGCGCTTGTTTGCAGCCGCATTGCGCACGTGATGCTTGTGAACGAAGTAAATTGACGCCACCACAACGCACACCGCACCAATAATCACTAGTGCAAGCTTCCAGCCGTCGAGAGATTGATCCGAGGATGCGGACGCGTTCGGTCCTGAACTGCTGTCATAAGTATCGGTAGGAGCGTTGGCCTTGATGTCAGTATCATCTGGCGTGATCGGCGCAAGCGTCAGTTCCTTTCCTTCAGTACCCTCGGTCGACATATCTTTCACACTGTTGTCTGCAGAATCCAGTGCAGTATTGCTTGAATCGAAAATTGAGCCAGAAGTTGATATTGAGTCCAAGCCTGAGCGGCCTGGTGTTGACTCAGAAGCATTAGGAGATAAAGTCGGAATAGCTCGGGGAGGCACAAAGGGTAGTAAGGTCGTAGTATCTTCAGTCGGAATAGTTGCTGGGATCGTTGTTGCTGATGTCGGGGTGGTGGCTGCTGGTGCCGTCGTGACAGAAGTTGTTGCAGGGTGGTTTGCAGGGTAGTGAGTTGCTACATGACCAGTCGAGAGAGCATCAGTAGACAATGGGGCAGTCGTCGGCGCCCCTGCCATCCTCGGCGGTACTTCTGTCACTCCTGGTAGTATTTCTGTCACTCCTGGTGGTGTTTCTGTCACTCCTGGCGGTATTGCTGTCACTCCTGGTGGTGTTTCTGTCACTCCTGGCGGTGTTGCTGTCACTCCTGGTGGTATTTCTGTCACTCCTGGCGGTGTTGCTGTCACTCCTGGTGGTATTGCTGTCACTCCCGGCGGTACTATTGTGACTCCTGGTGGTATTGCTGTCACTCCCGGCGGTACTATTGTGACTCCTGGTGGTAATTCTATTACTCCCGGTGCATTATTTGACGGACTAGCCGTCGCTGAATGTTCTACTAACGTATTTAGCGTCTGTGGTGTGGACGATCTTCTTAATAAAGATGTCGCACTTGATTCATCGTCTTTTCCTGTAGCAGGTTTCACAGTCCCCAACGTCATGTCGGTCGATGCTAGTGCATCTAAACCCGCTTCATCCCCTGAAAATGCAATGTCAACCGGTACGACCGTCAAGCTATCCCTTATCTGTGCGGAGACGGTAATGACAAATGTCATTAACAGCACAACCACGAGCAACAACGACCAGAAGCACAACGCAGGAGTCCGTCGGGATTGTGTCATGATTACCTGCAGTCTATATCCTAAGAGTGCTACGATCTAGAATACTGCCTATGCACTGGGCACACGGATTCTTACACGATGCTAGTTTTGCAAGCAATGCCCAATTCCTGTAAACCAGACAACAAATTAGCTTGCGATTCGGCGTTTTGATTCCGCCGTCGATGCAATTGGGGAACTGACAGTGTGTGATGCCTCTCTTTGTACACAATATCAAATATTTCTGAAGAAGGCTGGAAAAGTCGGCTGTTCATTGTCTGATGACATTGTCTGTTAAAAAATGGTACAGTTTTCCAGACTAGTGCTTACACAATCTCACATGGCTCGAAACCAGCTGAACCAGATTTAGTCGATGTGTTCGATTTACGACCGTGTTCTATACAATTGAACTTGGCTCCGATTAGAATTAGAAATGTTGTTGAGCGATAAGCGCTTTCGGCTATCCACACATAACGTATATGATTATCCAAGGTTGATCAAGTTGTCGAGTCGTTTTGGATGGACAGGACGTATAGTAATGAAAACCCTTAGACACATCTTGAGTTAAATCCACCCCTTGATAATTCGGCTGGACACTGGTTTAACGACTCTTTTTGCGGCAAAGCGGTTATCCCATCCTAGAAAATGCATGATACTGCACTTGTAACAGCGTTTTTACCCATGACACGTTAATTACAATGCATGAGTGCTAATCACTGATCATGATTGTCACCCGCCTCGCCCCTTCTTCCACTGTCATGCTTGCAAAATCAATGCTACAGACATAACTCATTTAACGCCGGGTTTCAATTCGGCTTCCCTAGACTCGTAGATGCTGGCAGATTCAGATAACACGCACATTACAGCGAGTCTAAATGGCAAACCTACGCTTCACTTTCAGTGTTGCATTAGTGAGGCGGGTTGACTAGATCAAGTATGCAACCGAACAACGAGCTCGTACCAACGATGCATCAAGACCCACAATCGTGTCACTTGTAGACCACAAGCACTTGAAACGTTAACAAAGTCCTGTGTTTGCCTTACGGATAGCCTACTTATGCCAAACGATGACAAAGACTATGCGCTACAGGTCATATCCAAGACAACCAGTCGACTGCGTCTGCTGAATATAACTGCTGTTTGCTGACATAAGTCTAGCACGTTGCTCCTACGTCGGTCAGCCTTCGACTCTCACCAGCAACTAAGGCCTTCTGCTGGTACCAGAAACGAATAATACGGTGTCCGAACGATGCTCAGGGACACTGTTGTTGGGGAGATTTAGCACAGCTGTCGCAAGACCGAATGGTTGTGAATCTTCTCATGTTGCTGTCATATTCAGGTGAGCGAGGTAGCTAACAAATGCCGTCAAATGGATTGCCTTGTCGACACACTGGCATTAACGGTGCGTAACAGCACCTTCAACGTGGCATCGCCACATAGGAACCAGCTACTTTAGCCGCAGTCGAGCGCGCTACAATTTCTCGTAACTGGCAAACAGAAACGAGTGTAATGCACGAGCATCCTTGAGCAAAGACAGCACAGAATTTGCTGCTGCTTCTCGCTCATAACGTCGCTATCCAGACGCATTATACGAGTGGTTAACTTATGGGGTTGAGGTGGATTATAAAGATGACGCTGGTACATCGAGTCTGCATCAGCTTACTTTGAAACATGTGCACTACCGTCAGAACTCGAGTATCACATCAATCCAGGTGAATGCGAGCACAATAGCAGACACTGAAAGCAGGCGCTGGTAGTCTGGGATCATTGTGAACGAAGTTAATGACTTGCGTCAGTAAGACTTCTACGACTGATCTGTCGGTTCGCTACAACTCACGGCGAAGTTGCCTCGTTTGATGCGTTATTATCGGTATGTTGTCCAAGTCCTTGTCTTCACGCAAATTTTCGTACGCGACATACAAGCTTGCAATTCACTTATCAACTTGTAAAGCTTGCGAGCACAGATACCACATGGCTGGCAAAATTGCCAGGGTGAATGTTGTGTTTTTGCGTAGACTCGAAATTGTGTTGGTTCGTCTTGGACATTAAGCAGTCTTCTACAGCAGAAAATTTGAGGTAGTTTCAAGCAAAATTGTAGTATTAACATAATGAAGAATGTCGAGGAAGTACGTCAATTGTTAACGAAAGTTAATCAAGCCCTCTCTTGTTGTTTTGATCCTAACTCTTTTATCCTTCTCACATTCTTTTCGTGCCTCAATTTCAAGTCCAGCGAAGTACCAAGCATCAAGCTCACAAGATGAAGGGAATGATGGCATGACGTCGCAATTTCTTGTAGTCATCGCCGTAGGTCTTGAGATAGCCACGGTGTTTCTTCAAAGCCCAGTCAGTCATCTGCAAAAAGCCCACCACAGTAAAGACATAGCTAGCTGCGACCTGCGTGAAAAGTGCAAAGCCAACCCAGCCAAGCACTTCAAACGTATAGTTTGGACACGACACCAAGGCAAAGAGTGGACCCTTGGGAATTGGTCGCTCCTTAGACCCTTCAGCTGGACGTAAATTACGCAATTGCACATGAACACACAAGTTTAAGAGCTCTGAGATCCCCATGAGCACTAAACCAGCCTGAATCTGTAGCTGTGACGACGGACCTGTGTACAGTGGATGACAGAGTGGATAGCCCACCACAGCTCCAAAACTCCAGTAGTAACTGCAGTTTTTAAACAAATTACGCAGTGGCATTGTCGGACGACTAAACCGATGGACAAAAAAGGTTTCAAACTCTCGTTTAAGGAAATGAAGCGTCCAAGCAGCAACACCAAGCAATGCCGTCGTACAAAATGGTTGCACTTTCGCCTCAGCTCCATAGATAAAAGCTGGACGAGCTGCATATCCAAGTACAAAGAGAAGTGGACCTAGATATTCTGCCACAAAGACCGTACGGTAGCCGATTTGTGGTCCAAGATCTCGAAACACAAGTGTTGCACCGTGTTGGACGTTATAATGAACGAGTGCTTTCGTATCGTCCATAAGAGGCACAAGGGAATGATCTTGTTGCTGCAACTTAAAGCTTTGACGAAAGCGCGAGATCCCAGTGTGCATTTCAAATGCAGTTTTAAGACTAGAGACAGTTGGAGCTGAGCCAGGGACCGAGACTAGACCATAATCTTTTGTTGATTTTCCAAGTTGGATTACGTTGACTTGCATCGTGAAGATTGCGGAATGTTAAGATGCCCGTGGAGTTTGTGATACGCAACATAATACAAGATAGGCAATTTAAAAGGAGCTCAAGCATTTTGATTTCCATCCAATCGTAGATTTTGTATGTTTGATTTCATCCAATGAAAGCAGCGAAACCGTCTCCACCAGCCAAATATACGTCTGCCAACCTTGTGAACTCTATTTGCTACAGTCAAGAACGAGAAGAGCAGAAATGATTCGAAAGGGGCTACGCAATCCATTGGATGAAGCTCAAGTACGTCGTGCGGTACTAGCTTTAGAAACATTTGTGGCGAAAAAGCGTGAAGAAAGAAGCAAGACGCCATTGGTCGAGGATGTCGAGTATGTATCGTGCATCTTGACGCGCAAATTAGTGCCGACCAAGACGTCGTTCAAGCCTATTCCTATGTAAGAAACATTGTTACACATATTATATGTGATTACATTATCGATTCCAATTGTTTGCAATCTTTTCTGACCATTGTGGACGTTGTAATGTCCTGTTAGCACGCTGCCGCATGCATTATACGACGAGTCAGCTGAGATTTGCCTGTTTGTCAAAGACGAGGACAAGAAACGGATTAAAGAAGCATTGGAGAAGGACCCTGTGCAAGGTCTTACCAAGATCATGACTGTGAAGAAGTTACGCAAGAACTTTTCGCGTTTCGAGGACAAACGTGCTCTGGCCGCTGCGTACGACATGTTTTTGGCCGACGACCGTGTACTGCCATACCTCAAGGGCCCGCTGGGCACCAAGTTCTTTACAAAGAAGAAAACGCCTGTGGCTGTGCGTGTATCTCGGAAAAATGTAGCAGCGAGTGTACGACTGGCCGCACGTCGGACGGCTTTCCACGTAAGCGCTGGCGTGTGCAATAACATTAAAGTGGCGCGGCTGGATATGACTCCAGAGCAGATTGTGGATAATATCATGGTGGCCACGAATCAATGCGCCACTCTTGTTCCTAAGGGCTGGAATGGCGTGCAGTCTATTAGTATAAAGACTAGCGACTCGGTTGCTCTGCCTGTGTACAATGCACTGGCGCCTCTGGCGAAGCTACCTCCTGTCGGAAAGACTGCCAATTTGAAAAAACGAAAGCTTGACGAGTATGCTGCTGAAGCGGATAAAGCAGAAAAGGAGACACAGACAATTGTTGAAGAGAAGGAGACGAAAACAAAGGATGCAAAGGTGGACGAAGCAGTAAAGAAGACATCTAAGAAGCAGAAGATTGAACTTGAAGAGGTTCCGACACCCAAAGCAGCTAAGAAGAAGGCTCCGAGTAAGAAGAAAGTGGCAAAGAAGAAGTAAATCATTGATCTTTGCAACCCGTTCATGTTCTGAATAGATAGGTAATTACATCGACATCTATGTGTTTGTGCTTTGTCAAACCAACTGAGTCATTCACAACTGTGGTATTCTGATCTTGGATTGTTGCACGCACTTACAAAGTTGATTGTTGCTCTGGACGCACAAGCGATTGACATTGTACGACGATTTACAAAGCATAGACGTCCCGTCCCGTCAACGAATTATTCACGCCTTCTTCATGCGTGTTGTTTAGTTTTCAATCCCTACTTGACGTGACTTGCAAGCTCAATGAAGCGGCATACTCCATACACTGCACATATTAACCAACACTCGCAAGCCTCTTCTTACACGACAACTTGGTACTCAGGCTTATGAGCAGCTTCTCAACCACTTTACAGTATAGAAATGTCACTACGACCGCACATCTTCGTTCAAGACGTTGTCATCAATTTGCATGGGCTCAAAACTACGGAAAACAAAGCAACAGAATCTTGTGATACATGGTGTATGGTATTTTGCGCTATGGTAAGCACGGATTGTGCTAAACATCTCGGTACGGCCAAATGCCACTTCTCAGGGCGTCAACCTATTGGTTCACGCTGCACATATCAAAGTTTGAGGTCTCTACAGGAGCTACCTTGTACATATTAATGTAAAACTACCCGTGTCAACAGTCTTTAAAAGTGACGATAGATTTTGGAATACTAGTTGCAATTCGCACGAACTCCGTCTACTCCTTCTTCATCTTCCATGGTGATTCATTCGCTCAAACTCGTTGTTCCAGTGCTCTTCAATCGTCACACAACTGTTTCCTTAACCAACTTGCGTGGAACGCGCTCTTCTACTATCTTCCGCTCGTCAGATGACAAACACTCGCATAGAATGTCAAATCTGAGCTGTGAACTTTTGTTCAAATCCTTTGCCTCGGTCCAGTCTTGCTCGAAGCAGCCTATATTGTTCAACATGAGGTTCGCCACCATTCGATAGCAAAGTAATTTCGCGCGATCTACATCGGAGATATGATCCATCGTCAGAATTTCGGTACAAGTCCTTGCAGCTTTGTCATAGTTTTTCGCGAAAAACGCAACTAATCCCGTCTCCAGTTTTGAAGAAGTCACAGAGGTGATCTTCCACTCATGACACTTCGATCTCGTTTCATCAAGAGGACGAAAAGTTCTAGTGGCAACACCGCGGCGACAGTCATCTGGTGCTTCGGTGGGAGAACAGAGGATTGCATCGGTAGCGGCATTATAAAAGGAATACCAATTTCCTTCAAGCGCCACTAATCGCCAAATTCCAGCGGCGTCCGGCAAACATTTTTTATAGCGCGACACAAGAACTCGCTTCATTGTGCAATCACCTACATCGGTTATTACTGTGAACTCCGAGGCATAGATATAGGCGTCTGCATATACATTGAGAATGTAAAAATCTGACGAACCCACTGATACGGGAACAAATTGCCACAACTCTTTCTTGTTGTCTGGTGTCCATTGTCCTTTCCAGCAAAAGACTGACCAATTACATTTATCATGCATGTATCCTTCTCCCGCTACATAAAGGTGATTGTTGTCAATAGCTGACGTGATAGTAACTGGTGCGCTGCTAGCTATTGCCCGAACTCCAGAACTCAGATGTCGAATCCAACAGATCTCTGCTAACATGAGCGCTCTTCTTGTTAACGTTGCCATCACTTTACGAAGTATCACTGCAACCGCACACTTGTCCCAAACCAACGATTTCTGGAGCATTAAGTCGCAAGCAAAGACAACCCAATCGGATTGAGGTAGTGATACAACAAATTTCAACATCACATCTTGAGAAATTCGCTGTTGCGCACACTCGAACTGAATCAACATTCTTAATGCCTGCTCCACGTTAAACGCCGATTGAAGAAGAAGATCCCGGGCTTTTTGCTGTCCATCTTTCCCTTCGATTAAAAAGTCGAGCATCATCTTACAAAATTCATTAGACACCATCTTGGCTTAAGCAAATTGTAGAATGAACATCGATACGTTAAAGTCAAGAGAGTTCCATCCATCATGTCAATACCATGTATGGTCAAATGCTTTCAATCATCAAAACTTCCGATTATTATGACACAAAGCAGAACTCGTGCAGCTGCTTCAAAGCATCGGTGTAGTGCAGGGTAATATAAAGACAATCAAGGTGCAATGGCACTAGGAAAAAAGTTTGCCTAACGAGCTTGCACCATGCACCATCACTTCGTCCGTGATAAGGTTACGAATGGTTCTGCGGAACTCAAGCACATTTGAGTCCAGGAGTCAGCTCATTAATTACTTGATGGAATAGTTGTCGAAACTACCTATGCAAAGACATGAAGATTCTCGAAAACGCTTGCGTTGGCTGAAAGATGAAAGCAGGCTTTCATCGTAGGTTATAGAAATGCTTGTAGAATGAACATCCACGTTGTCGTAGCGAGTCACATTCGAGAAGTTGCAAACCGCCGATTAGATTTCGCACAGGACGAACATCTCGGCATTCAGTCAGGCCACTGTACAGCTCGAGCTACAAGCAAAGCTTATCGGTCTCTAAAAGTGAAAGCGTACGAAATACTGAAGACGATGACGTGCTGCTACAAACATGAGAACAGTCACGCCGCAGGTCACATTGAACAACATATCTACCAAGCTATTCAGTTTATTGTTTTGTATTGAATCATTCAAGGTTTGGCTAGATTAGCCCCCTTTCAAAACGTTCTCCTTACTTCCTATACTATTCATCTATGACCTGCCTTGTGGTGCTGTAAGCAACAGCTTTCAAAAAGCACACCATGCAGTAATCTTTCTTCCTGCGTGCGACCTCACTTAGTCATGGTTGCAGTGCTGCCAGCGTTCTTATCATTTGAGGTCATTAGGCTGCTTGAACAGCACCACAACGCATGTCACGTTATCTGTCGAGCGCTGGTGGAAAATAGCGTGCTCCACAATAGCCTGCATCCAAACAACAAAATTTCATGTTAGCTGGCTAGCACGGTGCTTCAAAATAAACCCACAGGTAATATTTAACAACGCACCTCCACAGCACGCTGAAGATCTCCAAGCTGCGTTATTTTCTGACGCATAAAGTCAACAGCTTCCTGGTCTTTGAGAACATCGTACAGCCCGTCACTGGCCAGCACAACAAACTCACAGTCTTCTGTGAGCTCTGTAATGGTGATCTCGGGCGTGGGAATAACTAGCGGGCCTTTCAAAATATCATTTGGGTTTACAGGCAATTCCTGTGAGTCGTAATCACTACGTGGCTTTGAATCCACGTCTTCTTTTGGTGGCTCTGGCAAATCAAAAGTCTTAAATGGTGCATCTCCAAACGCGCGTGAAACGGCAAGCTCTCCCATGATACGTCCGTGAATCACAAATCCCCCAGTGTCGCGAACACGCTGTGCCTCGTCCTGCCGGCTCGGCTTGTGGTCGTTCGAAAGACGTTCAGCCTTACCTGCACGGCTCAAAATCGTCCGGGAATCACCGACATTTGATACAAACATGTACTTGCCTGCAATGAGCACCGTTGTCGCTGTGCTACCAGCCTGAGGACGTTCCGATTCATTCAAAAATTCCTCATCCGTTTTTTCAAAAGCATCTGTAAGTCGCTTTGTGATCATGGACTGCAGTTCCTCCGACGACGTATTGATCAGTGGCTTGAGCTCTGCTTTTTTCATAAAGAACGTTTTAATAATGTTGTGGTGCAGCACTTCACCCAAATATGACGAAGCCTCTCCGCCACCATGTCCATCGTAAACAGCAAAGTAAGACTGCGGATGCAATCCCAAGCGACTTAGTGACTCAATGCACAAGTCCTGAATAATCGTATGCGCGTCTTCCATGTGCTTACGTGCACCCATATCTGCATGAGCACCAAAGTCAAATCTATTCACAGTAAAGCATGTCTGTGCAACCAGCAAATCATCACCAATTTCAAGACGGTACGGTTCCTGATAACTTCCCACAAGCTTCATAAACGTTCCGTTCGTCGAATTCAAGTCAACGAGGTAAAACTGATTTGTTAATTCATCAAACCAGATCGCAGCGTGTTTACGCGAAAGTTCACCATCACCTGTGTGAATCTTGTTTTCCGCGGACCGTCCAATCCCCGCACCTTCGCGCCCTATCGTAAACTGTGTCCCTGCTAGTTTCCCACTCAATGCCGATATTTCCAACGTTTGCGATGGTTCATGAAAAGCTGTCACTATAAAATCTGACTTGCCGACTCGAAACGACACATGAGGTTCCAAAGGCCATTGCATCCGATCTTCAGCATCGTCATCACCTCCGCCACACGGACTCAGTCGAACAAACGTATCACTTGAATTATCTCCATTGGCTAAATAAAATCGTCCACCATTGTAAAGAATACGTGCGTGATCTTTACCTTCAAGTAATTGATCAGCTGGAACACTCGCTACATTATCAGTATCACTACCAATACCGCCTCCATTCACATCAAATCGAAAACTTGTTACTGTATCCTCTTCTGAAAATGCAGTCATTTTCAAGACGACATGGGTCCATTTCTGCTCGACATACGGTGGAAGTCCATCTTCATCCACATCTCCACTTCCAGACGTCGATGACGAAGTTAATTTGAGTCTCCTTTGTTTCTCCGACTCTGTCGGTGACGGTAATAACTCGACTGCATTTTCATTCGCTGGTTCAGTCACCACCGTCTCAAGTTCATCCTGTTGACTCATTGTAGATTTACTACTACTGGGAGCACTTTTACTCATGAATTGACTGGTGCTTTTGCTGCTACTTGTATTACTCCTGTGACGATGATTCACTAACACACCTCCTGCACTACTAATAGTCGAGCGAAGAAGACGATTAACACCGGACGTACGAGCACGTAAAAATGACGTTGTCGACTTCCGAACGTCGGATTCTAGCATTGAAACGAGGAATCAGAACCACCATAACAACACGAGACAGAATCAGATCAATCCATTAGTACCACAAATCCATTGAACACGTACGAGGAGGTTCAAGATGTAAAGTAGAAGACCGTCGACGTTCATATTCTTGATCATGTTTTCTCGCCACTAGAAAAAAGCATCACATTAAATTTTAATATTGTGCGTGGACCAAAAATACCGGTATATACTTTTTCCAGGACTGATAATAATACGATAAATATTTTAAGAAACAATCACGTAAATATTTTTCCAAAGGAGGTAGCTGACTACCTTTCATTTTAAGTGTTTGGACATCTTGGGCGTCTGACATGATGCGTGATAGAAAAGTCTTGATCTGGTGTAATTATTTAATGGCTGAATGTCTTGTGTGTGTGTTTTTTCACTCTGATTGTAATCAACTTTCTCCTTCTTAAGACTAAAAAGCTGGTTTCAAGGACGATTTTACCAGATGCAGGGCAAAGTCTCTGCCGCCGGCTGTCTCGTATAAAAGGTGACAGTATTGAGACAAAACGATGATAATATTGGTTATCTATACAACAACGCTGTGCCTTTTTAACAGGGTATGATATCTAGCAAGGTATTAAGTTTATTGTAACACTTTATAATTTCTTACAGATATAGTATGTATAAAATACAAGTCAAAGGATCTTATAATCATGTTGTATTCATTTAATGATTAAGTTGTACAGGATATGTAAACAAGTAAATCAGTGACAACATACAAGAATAAACACGATGACTACTATGTACCCATCTTTTTGTCAAAATTTGAGCAAACTCATAAATTAGTTTCCATTTATTCTCGAACGCTACTACTTCCAATAGAGATTAACTGCTTTGAGTTATGTATGCAACATACTGTAATCATGAATAATATCTCCAGCCGCTGCTCACTAGCGTTACTTTTTGTTGCATCCGTGAGATGTCTCATGATCACTTGCAAATACAAACATGATAATGAGCTGTTGCTTCATATTCTAGAGGACACTCGACTCGACCTCACTCCCTTTTGATAACTTGCTCATAGTTTTGCACTTGTGTCAGTCAGATAGATGTTCATTTGTATGACGCATCCGTAAAGCGTAACTTTTTACTTTGATAGAATGAAGATGAGTCACCATTCCCATGTTGGTCGTACTCACTGAATCCACTGCTCTCGAAACTCTTGCCACTAGCATGTCGGCTATCGTAACCGCTTTTACTAGCAGCAAAGCTTTGGTCATATCCACTATCACTTGCCGCAAAGCTTTGGTCATATCCACTATCACTTGCCGCAAAGCTTTTGTCGTAGCCACTTTTACTCGCCGCAAAGCTGTTGTCGTAGCCACTTTTGCTCGATGCAAAGCTATTGTCATAGTCCTTGCCTCCTCCTACGTGAGAGTTTTCGTAATCTGTCGACATGCGATATTCCGTATACTCGGACTCCTTGAAACGATTCTTGCCAGTATAATCACTTGCTGACGTGGAACGTGAATTCGCAGACCCAAATTGCGTATCCTCAAATGACCGATCCATCCCGCTCGCTTTTTCACCTCGTCGGTTCCGTCCTGCGGACTTCCACTTGTTCGTCGCATGCGACATATCCTGGGTCGCATCACCTTCAAAATCACTTTCATCTTCCGACCCAGAAATGTCGTTCTCCCTATTGCCCTTGCGCATACCTGGATAATTTTTAACAACCTGACTCCCAGACGAAAAATCGTTGCTGTATGCGCTGTCACCATAGAAATTTGAGTGCGTCATGGAACTCGAGTATTGACTACTGCCGTTGCTATAACCAGTTTGGGCCATGGGCGGCAGCGATACCTCTGAGTGTGCAAGCGCAATTTGACTACTCGGTGTAAGCATATCAAGGTTCGAATCGTTGTAATTGACCGAATTGCCTTGACTGTGGTATCGGCCATACGCATCCTGGTCGTACTGGTGATTGTGATTTTGGTTGTTGGGGTAAAAGTTGTCGTTGTCGTGCTCAGTCGGTGACATGTTGTCGTTTTTATGGAAGTTAGCAGCCATCGTTGACGATTGCGCTGTGCTCTTGACTCCATCGAGACGTGCTGTCTGTAGAACCGGGTCCATGTCGTCAATCTCATCATTATTCTTATGCATCTTGATGTAGACAAAGACTGCAATGAGCATCACAAGTGCTACTGCACCTCCCATCATGAGCCCAAGCATATGAGTGTTTGCCATGCCTGGTGCTTCAACTGATGCAGAGTCTGCCATTACAGAGGCTCCAGACGATGCTTCTGATATTGACTCCGCAGTCGACGTGGATGCCGTTGGCGGTGTGGCGGGCGGGTTTTTAGTATCATCAATGTCGGACGCAGCACCCTGCTTGTTCAACGTGGACGATTCGGACGACGAGTCCGTCTTACTCGATTTGGACGATTCGGACGACGAGCCCGGCTCGCTCGAGTTGGACGATTCGGACGATTCGGACGACGAGCCCGGCTCGCTCGAGTTGGACGATTCGGACGACGAGCCCGGCTTGCTCGAGTTGGACGATTTTGAGCTTGGCGTAGACGAGGATGCCGAATCCGATTCCGATGTTGTCTTCGTCACTTCTTTCTTCGTCTTTAAATCAGGAGTCTTCGGCACTTCTTTCTTCGTCTTTAAATCAGGAGTCTTCAGCTTGGTCGTGGATGACGGTGACTCTAGCTCGTTGGATATAAGGTTAAAGCTGGACCTCGATCCCGGCTTCTCCGACTTTGAGTCATCTGCAGTGGGAACGGCATATGGCACGGGTGCTTCCAGCGCGAGTAACGGCGACTTGGTAAATGTGATACTTTTTGCCTTCGAATCTGAATCGTCAGGAGGCGCTGTCTCTTTTGGATACTTTTTGGACTTGGTCGTATTCGAGGCCTCTAAGTCAGGACTTGGTGCAACAGTTCCTGGCTTTGAATTGCTTTCTAAATCCGCAGTATTCTCTAAATTTGCTGAACTACTGTCATTCGTTGCCGTTGGCGTCCGCCCCATAGCCTTCGGCGCTTTAGTCGCAGGTGGTTGCGTCGTTTTTACATTCACCTGGTCCCGCCGAGTACGAGGTGGTTTCGTGGCAGACGTCACTTTCTCTTTACTCGGAATTGCATCCGACTTCAACGACTTAGCTGGCGGGTTTGTAATTGGAATCCACATTCGATGTGTCGTTTTGCCTGTTGGTGTTGGAGTTAGCGGGACGCGATCCGAGTCTGTATGTGAATTTGATATAGAGGTCTCATCCAGGTCACTTCGCATTGTGTACACTTGTGCATTCGATAATGCAAACATGATCGCAATTGTAACAAGCGATTGCATGAGCCAACGTCGATGGACCTGCATCGTCCTCATTCTAGCCAACCCAAGTAGACCCGCCTCGTGTCTGTAGCGTAGCAATCGTACTGATTGTACGTCCAATGAAGGCTTTTGAATTGACGGTTGACAACAATTCAGCCGCGAATGCACTTGTGTGAGGCGGTGCGACACTGGCCTTTTGCAAAGAGGAGAGTCAGCTGTAGAGGATAAACGGTAGTCGATGCCATGTACATTTTGCAAACGTACGTAGTGATCGTCCAAAATGATCGGCGGAACCAGCTGGTGGTAATAAAACACGCAAAAAACAATGTTTATGGTGTTAGAAACTTAAACACAGCGTATTTTGCAAGCCCAGGAGCTGGGGCGGAACATGAACATTTATCGTGCTTATTGGAAACGATAGTAGCAACTTTTGCGCGAGATGTTGGCACTTCAACGATCAATGGTATACGATAGTAGTTTGTCAACTATATTAATGCTGGATTGAATACAGTATGTTTTGAACTAGCTAAGCACTTAATTGAGACCACCACTACTAACAAATGTACAACACGCTGTCGAACGATTTCTTACGTATCATTAGAAAACAGTTATTCGTCAACATGATCCTACTAAATGACAAAATTCTATCATTAATACAATATGAAATTAAAAAGCTACATGTACACGAAGTAGTCGCATTTATTTAATTGCATGAAGTTGATGGTCTACCGGTCTACTGGTCTGTCTGTCTTTCGATCTGTCTGTACCTGTTGACGTGCCGACTTTTCGAGTGGACGAGTGACATCCCTTGCTAGCCACAAATAGTAACTAGGGTGTAGGGTTAGAAGCCACTGAGTTATCCATGTCGTCTAACAGAAAACTGGTTTACTTACATAGTGCGAAGGATGTTAAACTGTTGTCCACCGACTATGGAGAGTGGGAAATAAGGATTTGCCATTAGTATCGCCCATTAGTCGCTCACAACCAATCCCTTTTAACATACAGAGATATATGCAATAGACTCTCACTATCTACATAGTTAATTGTCTGTTTGTTTTGTCAACCACGTGATTGCTGAGCCCGGTATTAGAAAAGTTGTTGCTTCAACTCTGAAGAACAAGCACCTGCAACAAAACTCTCACTTCCATATAAAATCCACCTCGACCATGTAGGCTTTTGCTCGCCACAGTTTGACGAGGCTGCTAAATTATAGCCGTCATGAATTATAAATCCCTGTTAAGCTTATCGGATCCAGTACAGCGCATTATACGATTTCAACTAATAATGCTCTCAGCACCGCAACATATGCTCCCCTACATATTAAGTTTTCAAAAATATTACCCCTCATCCGGTGATCGAATCGTAGTCTGCACACAAAAGCAAAGTGAATGCAAACGCAATCTGGGACTTTTAGGCGTGAGACTTTTGGCAGCTGTGACCTATCAAGCGACTAAGCACAAACATGGAAATTTGCTTGTTACGAAGTATCACATCAATCTGCAGCTACGACATCATTTACACGCATAATTCTGATATCTGGCAACTAAAAGCTCGCAACAATTGCTGCCTTCTGTTTCCTCAAGTATGAGCTGCATATTGGCCCAGCAAGATGTGGCTAACAGCATCAATAGTTGCGTCCAAAGGATAAACCAATACTTGGGAAACAACGTCACTAGGTTTGTGAACAGTATTTGTAGTCCGCTCCACTGCAGACTTCACATCGATTCCGGAATATTCCATCACAGGCTTGACAAAGCCGCACAGATACAACCAGGACTGCGCACCTTTCAAAACAACAATCTGCGCTGCTGCTTCATTTCGAGAAACGGTGGTACAATCGCTCGGCTTCATGACCCACACGGGAAAGATCGATTGAAATCGATCCAGTTTGTCGTTGGCATCTTGCAACTTTGCGAGTAGCATTTGCGTTTCCGTGACTTGGATCGGCTGGAGTACAAATTGGTACTCAGGTTTCCACACCACATCTGCAACTGAAAACCTTAACAAAAGAGTAAGACGCATACGGCCGTCACTCATCGCAATGAGGTCCACTTCATAGTCAGGATCTCGGCTTGCTTTTGAGCTACAAAGAGTCATCTGTAGTAAGTAGTCGTTGGTCTAGATGATTTTAATAGTTGTGGAAACAGAAGGCAGCATTTGTTGCGAGCTTTTAGTTGCCAGATATCATAATTATTCGAGCAAATTTCCATGTTTGTGCTTTGTCGCTTGATAGATCACAGCTGCCAAAAGTCTCACGCCTAAAAGTCCCAGATTGCGTTTGCATTCACTTGGCTTCTTTTATTTCTTCATACAGCTTACAAGACTATGACGTCGATAGCCCAGTCATTTGCAAATTGTGTCGCTTAACTTCTGTTGCCGTTATTGCAACGTTGTTGAGCTAGAACTCGTTTTGCCATTGAACTATGTTGGAAGAGCGATGGAGAAGATGTATCAGATACAATTTTATTATTGTTTAAGATATTGTACGTTTAAAAATGTAACATTTGTGGCACTAGAAACGGGTGGACGTTGATGCAAACGCAGGTAACTAATGTTCTGAGTTAGCGAGGATTACGACAGTATCAACACTTGGCCTGCGACTAGCTTTTTGTATAATAAAGGGACATACGCAAAGTGTTCAAGAAGACGTTCGATATTGTTGTGGTTTACCTTCCAAGGGGCACGTGGGTTTGCGTCCATCATAAGTTCATCCATCACTTATTCCTCTTCTGAGTCTCAATGTTGCAATGCTCTGTTTCTCTTGTCGAAGGACGGTTTGCTTCGTGTCAGCTTTCGTCCTTGCGCTTATATAGACATGTTTCGAATAGCACTAAGACTGGATGTTGACATCAATGAATTTGCAAGTTTCGATTACTCTACTTAGTGCAGGCGACATGTGACTGACTGATTGCCTGTAATGAATCTCGTCGTCCTCGGCTAGATGTGTGAGCCATGTGCGAGCAATAGCCTAATAGCTCGTCCTGATTTCAACGCAATTTTTGAGGACAGTAGCAGCAAATCTATTTGAGTTATGGCTCTACATGAAGCCTACGCTGGAATGCGAATATCGTAGAGTACTACAAAACTATACCTGGTCGGGTTGGGGTAACGCCCTCCCGGAAGGCTTGGGCTTGCTGATGCTAGCTCAGGCCTCCGGAGTGCATCGCTCCTTCATGTGTGTCGTATCCAAGTCGTACGTCTTGGACCAGTTCTTGTGTTGTGGCTTTGTGCTCATTTTAGAGAGGAAGAGGTGCACGTAGTCGAGGGTATAAAGCGCCTGCAGCCTTTTCGGCACCAAATTGAAACTTGGTGAAGTGGCATGAACGTTTTGTTGCGTGGACACAAATGCTTTGTTGCCGTGTGGGGGCGAAGTTTCGTCGTACAATGGCATTGTGCCTCTGCAGAAACCTTTTTATTTAGTGAGCCCCCTAAAATCAATTCAACTGATACCTGTAATGCCATGTCGTGCTTCAAGACACTTTTTAGAGTTCTCTCTATCTTTTTGACCAAAGCGGAAACACGAACACACGACCTAGAAATCATTGTGACTAGGCGAGAACTGCCAAGCCAAAACAATCTGCACTACAGCTATAATCATTTGGGAGCTTGAACAGCAATCGCGTTTCAAGAATCGACGTGAGTAGCCATTTGAATTTTCACTGAAGTTTCTGACGAGCTTAAGAGCATCGTGAGCTAAGAAAAATGCAATAGATATGCTGTCGCGTTTACGGAATTATTAGTACTTGGTGTATGTACTTGGGCAACTTGACAGTTGGCTGCTGCTACCATACCGTTGTGTGTTTGTCGTTATTAACCAACTCTTGTACGAATTCCTTCTGTGCTAGTAACCTTCCGACCTACGGATGCAAAAAGCAACGCTACAAAAACCTTAGATTGACCGCAGCTACTAAAAAGGCTCGTGTATTGTCAACACGTCTTCGCTTTTGTCAGCGTTCCAATGAACTGACGAGACGTGAGAGTAAGTGATCGGGATATGAGCAGAATGGTGATATGCAATTGGCCAATCGACTTGACACGCAACACTCCAGGCAACAGGGTGATATTACACATGCGTTCGGTGATATTACAAAGAAGACCAGTAAGATTGTGCCTCACATTCCATGTTTACAGCGGATCGTGACTTATCGGTCTGACGACAAGGAGCAACCCCATGGTTGTATTTGTGACAGCCATCACCACGACGACTCAAACGAAGGCTACGAACAAACTTAGACCTGACGCAGCCAGAATGATGAAGTCGGCAAATTCTTGCTATTAATAACGTTTTTAGAGTCAGGACTAGTACTCCTTCGACTTGACTCGGATGAGGTAAAAACCCTTCTTCGTCAATTCTTTCATACTGCTCGAAATCAAAAGATTCTCGCAATATACGATCCTGAAACACATAATGCCTTCAGCGCCGTCATAAATCTGAGAGAGTGTCTACAAACATTCCAGAATCATGAAGTACTTCTGATAGTGATTAAATCGTCGTCTGCACATTCAGGAAAATGGAATGTGAATGCAGCTGCAATCTGGAAGTATTTAGGAGGGTGACAGTTTTCCGCATGCCATTGTTATGGACCCTCTTGCAGTAAGTCAACACTTGTATATCAATTTATATCTTGACACAACTATCGAAGTTATCTAGACCAACGACTTCTTACTACAGATGATCCTTGGTCGCTCAAGAGCGAACCGAAAACCTGACTATGAAGTGGACCTCATTGAATTGAGTGACGGCCGTATGCGTCTTACTCTTTTGTTAAGGTTTTCAGTTGCAGATGTGGTGTGGAAACCTGAGTACCAATTTGTACTCCAGCCGATCCAAGTCACGGAAACGCAAATGCTACTCGCAAAGTTGCAAGATGCCAACGACAAACTGGATCGATTTCAATCGATCTTTCCCGCGTGGGTCATGGAAACGAACGATTGTACCACCGTTTCTCGAAAAGAAGCAGCAGTGCAGATTGTTGCTTTGAAAGGCGCGCAGTCCTGGTTGTATCTGTGCGGCTTTGTCAAGCATGTGATGGAAAATTCCGGAATCGATGTGAAGTCTGCAGTGGAGCGGATTACAAATACTGTTCACAAACCTAGTGACGTTGTTTCCCAAGTTATTGGTTTATCCTTTGGACGCAACTATTGATGCTGTTAGCCACATCTTGCTGGGCCAATATGCAGCTCATGCTTGAGGAAACAGAAGGCAGCAATTGTTGTGAGCTTTTAGTTGCCAGACATCAGAATTATGCGTGTAAATGATGTCGTAGCTGCAAATTGGTGTGATACATCGTAACAAGCAAATTTCCATGTTTGTGCTTCGTGCGCTCAAAAGATCACGGCTGCCAAAAGTCTCACGCCCAAAAATCCCAGATTGCGTTTGCAGTCACTTGGCTTCTTTTATCTCTTCATGCAGCTTACAAGACTATGACGTCGATAGCCCAGTCATTTGCAAATTGTGTCGCTTAGCTTCTGTTGCCGTTATTGCAACGTTGTCGAGCTAGAATTCGTTTTGCCATTGAACTATGTTGGAAGAGCGATGGAGATGTAGTATTAGATACAAAGCATAATCGATAAGATGTTACACGTTTAAAACATGTAACGTTGTTGACACTGAAAATGACTGAACTTCCATGCCGACGCATGTGTTCGAGTAAGACAAATGCTTTGAGTCAGTGAACAACAAGACATTCGAGTGGGCCAGAGTTGATCTGTAACTAGCTTTTTGTATGAAAAGGGGACATACACAAAGTATTCAAGATGTTTAATTTCGTTGAGGTTTGCCTTCCAAGGTGCACGTGGGTTTGTGCCCGTCATAAGTTCATCCATCACTTATTCCTCTTTAGAGATCATCAATGTTCTCTTTCCCTTACTGAAGGAAGGCACGGCGTATAGCTTTCGTCCTTGCGCTTATACAGACATGATTTGAATAGCACTAAAACTGGATGTTGACGCCAACGAATTTGCAAGTTTCGGTTACTCTACACTTTGTCATGCGACTTGTGACTGAATGCCTGCCTGTCTGTGTCTAATGACTCTCGTCGTCCCCCAGTCTTAACCTGGATAGATGTCGGAGCCATGTTCGTGCCAATATAGCCCGTCTTGATTTCAACGCAATTTGAGGACAGTAGCAGCAACTCTAGCTGAGTTATGACTCTACACGAAGCCTGCGCTGGAACGCGAATATAGTACTGCAAACTACTAGGTCTCATCCTATAAGAAGATGCACTAAGTAGCGTCTATCATCGCATCAATTCCATGGTGATAATCGATTCTTTGTTGTTCATGAAGTTTATCCACCATTGGACTAGACCTTGCTGCAATGATCATGCTGCTATGGGGAAGGTAGTGAGAGGTCTAGATTCTTATTGTTGTTAGGGATGATAAGTAAACAGCCAAGGAGGATTATCGCCATGCCATTAAGCGCTGTGCTAGACTTATACTGATAATTGTAGACGATAGATATTGCTGCAGTGATGGAAATGTTCATATTGATCCGTAGCAATCAATGACAATGAAGTAAGTAAGTAGCCAAGTATGATAATGAAGTTCGTTTAGTATACTTGATCGTTCAGTATACATTTATATTGACATAACTACCACATAGTCGAATGACAGTCAAAGTTCACTCGGGACTGCAACTGCAGGTGCTAGCACTGTATAAGAAGATGCTACAAGCAGCAAAGCGCAAGGACATTGATACGCTGCACTACGTCCGTCAGCGCTTCCGTGAGGACGTAGGAAACAATTGCAGTTGCCACTCTTGTGCGACTCTGAATAAGGTGCTGACATATGATGTATACTTCTACGCATATGTATACATACTCAGGTGATTTCAGTAGACCACAAGGATTTTACCGTGATAGAGTATATGTTACGCAAAGGTGAACGCGATCTCGAGATGTTGGACAGGATGAAGTCAGCACATTTTGTAAATGTGTCATGGCATCGAATTAGAGGTGTCATCGATGAGTAAATTGATGTCCCTAATGCTTGACATGCAGTAAGAAGGTTACTACCGTATACTATTCATGTTGTTTGGTTTTCTGATGTGTAACTAAAAATGCAGTCTAGGACTTAGTATACTTTGAGCTACAGATTTGAATGTCAGGTAGAAGGTTGATCATGTCGGGTGAAGGGCATGAATATCAGAAATATCTTGTATCAAGGCCGTATGTAGGTCTCTTTGATGACATCATCAATACCTATCGTTGTTATGAGATACAACGTCAAGTAAAATGTACTGAAAGATTGATTGTCTACATTCTAGAGGTTAAACTGCACCACTAAGGCTAGCTTCAACACAAGCACTTTCCACAGTAAAAGCAAGTCTCATATCAATGATTGTGATAAAAGTATAGTTGTTATTTTTCTACCTATGCTACTCAAGTGTGGAAGTTAAGAGACTCCTGGTCATTTATGTCGGCGAGAAAGTCAATGCAGTCCATTCCTTCACGCCTGCCGAAGTCGACGATTGGAATGATGTTGAAAGAGTCCATCCCACATCCTCTCGGCTTTCTGCACCAAACCGTTGCCGTTGAACGTCATCACGTTCAGTGTACCGTCTTCGTTGTTAGTCGTTGCAATCCTTGTTGCAGTAGTATCATGACCTCGCTCTTCTTTCAGCGAGGGATTCTCGTTCGATGTCTTGCCATCGGTAATACTGTTGGCACCTGACGTTGAGAGCTGGTCGGTGTTGTAGCCCAGATTGTTCTCGACTGAAAACAGCGTGATGATAAACACTAGAGCGACTTTATTAATCCGACACATGAATGATTTGGTGCCTTGACAGCGAGTGATCGTGGAGAATTTGGTCGTGTCTTTGACAATGCAAAATGGAGAATGAAAGGGACTTGTTGTTTTTTTAGAGCTGAGCCATTATTTAGCAGTTGGCTGAGGCAGGCAGGGGCTGGTTGAACAACAGCAAGTTTGGTGCATACAAGTTGGTCGCAGGTAAAAAACGAAACGGAAAAGTGAGAAAGAAGCTGCACGTTGACATATTTCAATTGTCTAGGATTTCATACAACATAAAAGCCAGCGCATGTTGAATCCTTGAACTTTGCTTCAGCTCTGGATGCAAATTGATTTCTAGGCTTCTCACTTCAACTTTGCGGGACTTCAGGTTGAAATAGCGGACCATGTTACATGGTGAAAGTTCAAGAGCTACTCTGCACTCGGCTGTAACAGTTTGTATTTGATCCTCTTGATGACTGGGTATAGTTGCTTGTAGTCTTCAAAGCATGCAGTCTTTCGACAAACAATGGACTCCCCTTTACATGAAGCAGGACATTGTCATTTTTTGATGAATCACTCACGCACGAATGACAGACCGGCCTTAATATTTATCTATAAGGTCTGTAACCAAGTCACTCAAACGACAAGCGAAGCTCAATGAGGCTTGCTACTTGAATAATTGAGCATTGTAATAGAAATAAAGAATATCAAATTTTTGGCCAGTTCAGATACGAAGCAAATCACTGCCGATTTGTTTTATTACTGAGACGTATCCTCTTGCAGGACGTGGCTGCATCATGTATAGGCCTAAAATAGAACCACGGTCACAGACCTCACAGACAACACTTGAGTTGAAAGATAGAAACTACAGCCAGATTAGCGAAATGCGTAAAGAAATCAGGCTCACAAGAAGCATTCGCAAACCTGTTTTTAGATGATATACTGCAAACAACGTCTCTCCAAACTCTACTCATCGTATTTAATGCATGCAGCCATAAGAACAACCTAGTGCAATATTTCTAGGTACAGCTGAATGGCTGACACTCATGTTTCTTATGCGTGAGCTGCGTTATGTGAAGATCACATAAGCTTGTCCGCTTCCAAGCTACCAGACCACCTCGTAAGGTTTAGTTAGTATCGATGAATCCCAGTTTCAGCTTCTGCATAGGAACACGAGCATAGGCTATGACTTGGCAGTTTGGATGAAAGCCGCTGACTCTTACGTCCGTTGCATGCAGTTTGACAAAACATACGGGCTTGAACGTTGAACTTGAGTTGGAGTCGGCAAGTTCTTGGGCAGTTTTTTCTTGCAGTGAAGCACTACTGGTGCATCTAGCAAAGTGACTGCATTTAATCAAATCGCAACGATCAAACCAATAATGTACCAATGATTTGTCTGCTAGATCTGGTTCATTAAAACCGATTTTATGATCGATCGCCGGTCAGTAATTATCAAGACTCATGTTTCTGTGAAGACCCCGAATGATTTCAGGCAGGCTACAAACTGTCTGTGCGATTGATTCTGTAACCAAAACCACAAAGTGGTCGCTGATGAAACATTCAGTACTAGTGCACCCAACCATGTACCACGCACGTATCAGCAGTCAGTACGAATCAATAGAATAGAATAAAAGGTTGTGAAGTAATAGACTTACTGGATACAAAACTTATACAGCCGAGTGCGGAGTAGCTCTTGAACTTTCACCATGTAACATGGTCCGCTATTTCAACCTGAAGTCCCGCAAAGTTGAAGTGAGAAGCCTAGAAATCAATTTGCATCCAGAGCTGAAGCAAAGTTCAAGGATTCAACATGCGCTGGCTTTTATGTTGTATGAAATCCTAGACGATTGAAATATGTCAACGTGCAGCTTCTTTCTCACTTTTCCGTTTCGTTTTTTTACCTGCGACCAACTTGTATGCACCAAACTTGCTGTTGTTCAACCAGCCCCTGCCTGCCTCAGCCAACTGCTAAATAATGGCTCAGCTCTAAAAAAACAACAAGTCCCTTTCATTCTCCATTTTGCATTGTCAAAGACACGACCAAATTCTCCACGATCACTCGCTGTCAAGGCACCAAATCATTCATGTGTCGGATTAATAAAGTCGCTCTAGTGTTTATCATCACGCTGTTTTCAGTCGAGAACAATCTGGGCTACAACACCGACCAGCTCTCAACGTCAGGTGCCAACAGTATTACCGATGGCAAGACATCGAACGAGAATCCCTCGCTGAAAGAAGAGCGAGGTCATGATACTACTGCAACAAGGATTGCAACGACTAACAACGAAGACGGTACACTGAACGTGATGACGTTCAACGGCAACGGTTTGGTGCAGAAAGCCGAGAGGATGTGGGATGGACTCTTTCAACATCATTCCAATCGTCGACTTCGGCAGGCGTGAAGGAATGGACTGCATTGACTTTCTCGCCGACATAAATGACCAGGAGTCTCTTAACTTCCACACTTGAGTAGCATAGGTAGAAAAATAACAACTATACTTTTATCACAATCATTGATATGAGACTTGCTTTTACTGTGGAAAGTGCTTGTGTTGAAGCTAGCCTTAGTGGTGCAGTTTAACCTCTAGAATGTAGACAATCAATCTTTCAGTACATTTTACTTGACGTTGTATCTCATAACAACGATAGGTATTGATGATGTCATCAAAGAGACCTACATACGGCCTTGATACAAGATATTTCTGATATTCATGCCCTTCACCCGACATGATCAACCTTCTACCTGACATTCAAATCGTAGTCTCAAAGTATACTAAGTCCTAGACTGCATTTTTAGTTACACATCAGAAAACCAAACAACATGAATAGTATACGGTAGTAACCTTCTTACTGCATGTCAAGCATTAGGGACATCAATTTACTCATCGATGACACCTCTAATTCGATGCCATGACACATTTACAAAATGTGCTGACTTCATCCTGTCCAACATCTCGAGATCGCGTTCACCTTTGCGTAACATATACTCTATCACGGTAAAATCCTTGTGGTCTACTGAAATCACCTGAGTATGTATACATATGCGTAGAAGTATACATCATATGTCAGCACCTTATTCAGAGTCGCACAAGAGTGGCAACTGCAATTGTTTCCTACGTCCTCACGGAAGCGCTGACGGACGTAGTGCAGCGTATCAATGTCCTTGCGCTTTGCTGCTTGTAGCATCTTCTTATACAGTGCTAGCACCTGCAGTTGCAGTCCCGAGTGAACTTTGACTGTCATTCGGGAGTTATGTCAATATAAATGTATACTGAACGATCAAGTATACTAAACGAACTTCATTATCATACTTGGCTACTTACTTACTTCATTGTCATTGATTGCTACGGATCAATATGAACATTTCCATCACTGCAGCAATATCTATCGTCTACAATTATCAGTATAAGTCTAGCACAGCGCTTAATGGCATGGCGATAATCCTCCTTGGCTGTTTACTTATCATCCCTAACAACAATAAGAATCTAGACCTCTCACTACCTTCCCCATAGCAGCATGATCATTGCAGCAAGGTCTAGTCCAATGGTGGATAAACTTCATGAACAACAAAAAATCGATTATCACCATGGAATTGATGAGATGATAGACGCTACTTAGTGCATCTTCTAATAGGATGAGACCTAGTAGTTTGCAGTACTATATTCGCGTTCCAGCGCAGGCTTCGTGTAGAGTCATAACTCAGCTAGAGTTGCTGCTACTGTCCTCAAATTGCGTTGAAATCAAGACGGGCTATATTGGCACGAACATGGCTCCGACATCTATCCAGGTTAAGACTGGGGGACGACGAGAGTCATTAGACACAGACAGGCAGGCATTCAGTCACAAGTCGCATGTACAAAGTATAGAGTAACCGAAACTTGCAAATTCGTTGGCGTCAACATCCTGTTTTAGTGCTATTCAAATCATGTCTGTATAAGCGCAAGGACGAAAGCTGATACGCCGTGCCTTCCTTCAGTAAGGGAAAGAAAAACATTGATGATCTCTAAAGAGGAATAAGTGATGGATGAACTTATGACGGGCACAAACCCACGTGCACCTTGGAAGGTAAACCTCAACGAAATCAAACATCTTGAATACTTTGTGTATGTCCCCTTTTCATACAAAAAGCTAGTTACAGATCAACTCTGGCCCACTCGAATGTCTTGTTGTTCACTGACTCAAAGCATTTGTCTTACTCGAACACATGCGTCGGCATGAAAGTTCAGTCATTTTCAGTGTCAACAACGTTACATGTTTTGAACGTGTAACATCTTATCGATTATGCTTTGTATCTAATACTACATCTCCATCGCTCTTCCAACATAGTTCAATGGCAAAACGACTTCTAGCTCGACAACGTTGCAATAACGGCAACAGAAGCTAAGCGACACAATTTGCAAATGACTGGGACGACGCATAGTCTTGTAAGCTGTATGAAGAAATAAAAGAAGCCAAGTGAATGCAAACGCAATCTGGGATTTTTGGGCGTGAGACTTTTGGCAGCCGTGATCTTTTGAGCGCACGAAGCACAAACATGGAAATTTGCTTGTTACGAAGTATCTCACCAATTTGCAGCTACGACATCATTTACACGCATAATTCTGATATCTGGCAGTTAAAAGCTCACAACAATTGCTGCCTTCTGTTTCCTCAAGCATGAGCTGCATATTGGCCCAGCAAGATGTGGCTAGCAGCATCGGTAGTTGCGTCCAAAGGATAAACCAATAACTTGGGAAACAACGTCACTAGGTTTGTGGACAGTATTTGTAGTCCACCCCACTGCAAACTTCATATCGATTCCGGAATTTTCCATCACATGCTTGACAAAGCCGCACAGATACAACCAGGACTGCGCGCCTTTCAAAGCAACAATCTGCACTGCTGCTTCTTTTCGAGAAACGGTGGTACAATCGTTCGTTTCCATGACCCACGCGGGAAAGATCGATTGAAATCGATCCAGTTTGTCGTTGGCATCTTGCAACTTTGCGAGTAGCATTTGCGTTTCCGTGACTTGGATCGGCTGGAGTACAAATTGGTACTCAGGTTTCCACACCACATCTGCAACTGAAAACTTTAACACAAGATCAAGACGCATACGGCCGTCACTCAATTCAATGAGGTCCACTTCATAGTCAGGTTTTCGGTTCGCTCTTGAGCGACCAAGGATCATCTGTAGTAAGAAGTCGTTGGTCTAGATAACTTCGATAGTTGTGTCAAGATATAAATTGATATACAAGTGTTGACTTACTGCAAGAGGGTCCATAACAATGGCATGCGGAAAACTGTCACCCTCCTAAATACTTCCAGATTGCAGCTGCATTCACATTCCATTTTCCTGAATGTGCAGACGACGATTTAATCACTATCAGAAGTACTTCATGATTTCTGGAATGTTTGGAGACACTCTCTCAGATTTATGACGGCGCTGAAGGCATTATGTGTTTCAGGATCGTATATTGCTAGAATCTTTTGATTTCGAGCAGTATGAAAGAATTGACGAAGAAGGGTTTTTACCTCATCCGAGTCAAGTCGAAGGAGTACTAGTCCTGACTCTAAAAACGTTATTAATAGCAAGAATTTTGCCGACTTCATCATTCTGGCTGCGTCAGGTCTAAGTTTGTTCGTAGCCTTCGTTTGAGTCGTCGTGGTGATGGCTGTCACAAATACAACCATGGGGTTGCTCCTTGTCGTCAGACCGATAAGTCACGATCCGCTGTAAACATGGAATGTGAGGCACAATCTTACTGGTCTTCTTTTACATCAAAACATGGAACGCTTGTGTAATATCACCCTGTTGCCTGGAGTGTTGCGTGTCAACTTGATTGGCCACTTGCATATCACCATTCTGCTCACATCCCGATCACTTACTCTCACGATACTACGTCAGTTCATTGGAACGCTGACTAAACCGAAAACGTGTTGACAATACACGAGCCTTTTTAGTAGCTGCGGTCGATCTAAGGTATTTGTAGCGTTGCTTGTTGCATCCGTAGGTCGAAACGTCACTAGCAAGTAAGGAATTCGTACAAGAGTTGGTTAATAACGATGAACACTCAACGGTATGGTAGCAGCTGCCAAGTTGCCACTACATTCACCAAGTACTAGTAGTTCAATAAACGCGACAGCATATCGAATGTTTAAAATCTAATGCATTTTTTTTCGTTGCTCACCATGCTCTTGATCTCGTCAGATACTTCAGTGAGAATTCAAATGGCTACTCACGTCGCTTCTTAACACGCGATTGCTGTTCAAGCTTGGACTAGACAATGTCTTCCTTTAATGTCAACATGAGAACAAAATCCTTCGCCAAAAATTGCAATTTCTTTTTTGCAAGCTCGCGGCGTTTCCTGATGGTCCTGTTGCATATAATATTGGTCCTCCTCTATATCCTCCCGATGTTGCCATGCTATCATACACTCCATAACCTCCTCCTCCACGCCCTCCTCCGCCTCCACGCCCTCCTCCGCCTCCACGCCCCCTCCTCCTCCACCTCCGCCTCCATGACCTCCTCCGCCTCCAAAACCTCCCCCCCTTCTCTCTTCTAAATCCGAAGATGGATCTCTATCATTCACATGCACTTGAGCATAAACCTTACCATTTTCAGACACATTAGAGTTCTCCGTAGTATTCGCATCAATCTTGTTGGCTGTGACAATGCTACAGTTGCTGTTAGCTAGCAGTGTGACTACAATGGCCAATACGATATGATTTAAGCGCATGGGTCCTCGCAGTATGTCCCGTTGCAAAAACGTTTCCTTGTATGACTTGCGATGCCGAATGCGTTGTGCTAAGGAAAATAAGAGGTATGGCTTCGACAGCAAATCAACAGATCAAGACATGGCGTCGTTGATCATTTTGAGATGTGCGATAAAATTCAAACCTTAATCTTCTGCTCACTTGCTGTCGATTTCACGATTCCAGCTGGAAAATGGTTGAGTAATTGTTGGACAAAGAATGCTAAATAAGAGACATGAATCCAGTTTGTGCTGTCCCATCATTAAATTTTTGCGTCAAGAAGTGGTCGTGCAGCGTCTATCGATCTAAAGTTCATTGCACATAGGTCACAACACAACAGGCACGACAGTATCCCTTCAATATTCTCATCTTGCCAGCTTTGCACTATTGAGGCTAATGTAGGTGTTTGCTTACGCTGTCCTTGCTCTTACTGGGAAGAGCTGCGCTGCGCTTGTACGTTATTTGGTGATGGGATACATATGTAAGAAACACATAATGAACACACCATAAAGGAACCCGTTCCATATATTTCGTAACCCTTTATTATTAGCTTATAATTAAGCTTACACATTTAGCCAATTAGTGATGGCCGCAAGCAACAATAAAGTTCAGTTTGCTTTTTTATTGCGTTAAGAGTAAAACCTTCTTAAGGCATGTATCTCTTGGCTATTTATTTGACCGTCTGATTCTAGTATCAAATCGTTAGTTCCTTGAACTAAAAGACTTTCTTAGTCTAAGTCTTCCTCTGACGCTTGCTACTTGCAGCTCCGCTGCAGTTGGTATCACTTGTAGTCAATTTAACGACCGAGTCGTTTGACTGTTCATCTGTAAGGATGAAGCAATTTTCTTGTCTCTCGAAGAACCAACAGGCATCGCTTACTAAGCTGATCACCCTTGTTGTATTCAAGAATGTGGAGGCCCTCGCCAATCAATAGCCGA